TCTTAATTTGATGCATAAACAACATTCAGTTTGTACATGAGCTCACCATGGTGTGTAGGATGCAGCAATGAAGAAATAGATCACCATCCTGTCGCACATGTGGAAACAGTGTTCAACCGATCTAAAAAGTAAAGTAAGATATCACTTCTCAAGCACATGTGCAAATAAATATTAAGATGGATTATCTTAGTACAGGCCTAAAAGGTTATTCAAGCTACCCTAGCTGGATTTTCCTAAATGAAAACAATATCACTTCATGTTCAAGTGACTGAATTCCCAGTACACAAACTGAACAATGTACTGATCAAAAAGCTGATTTAGCTCATAGTCTTACCGGAGATGACTCTTTTTCCAGGAGACAGTATGGAAAACTGTGGATATGATGAAAAGACTTGATAGTCCCGCCCCATAAAGCCATGCGGAAATCTCCTCCCAGTGGTCATCAGATAAGAGGTACAACAAGATCCCACCCAAAATGCTGGGAATGATCCAGAGCTGAGAATAAAAAATAGTCACAGATTATTTAAATAGAACAATATGTGCAGATTTTAGACTATAGGAAATATTCAAAACAAATGTATGGCATTTATTTATTGTATATATGTACATTTTTATGATCAAGTTTGGACCTCTCCATATACACTACATCATTGGGACTCATAATACAGGAACATGATTTCTCCTATCATTGCTGATCATTTCAACCCAGATGATCCCATGGCAGCTGCATGGATCTCAGACTGCCTGGCGGATTGATGAAAGAACATTACCTACAACTCAACTTTTGTTTTCCCAGCCACCCCGTCAATACAGCACAATTTTAATATCCAGCTAGGTTCAACAACAGTAGTTACATCAAGTTCAAGCAATCGTGCCCTGCTTCATACCACAGTCATGTTAAAAACATCACTGTATTCACTCATCCAAAAAAGATCCATCAGCTTGACGACAAGATCCATAATTCTGCTTAATATACGTCATTAATATACGTCTTTGTTATTGTAAGAGGTTAGCGACCCCTGGTGGCGAAACAATCTTGCATATTGTACCTTTAATATTCAACAACATTATTGATCTGACAGTTCTGATCCTGTTGTATGAGACGAAGACGTAATTTTTTTGCAGAACTGCTTTATAGATTAAATTAACTGAACGGACTTCAGTAGAACAACAACCAAAATCTATTATTTTCCTGTTATCACTTTAAAGCTGCTTTGAAAAATGTATATTATATAAAGGGCTATATAAATAAAAGTCACTTGACTTTACTTACCAGCCAAATCCCTGACAACTGACTCTTCCATGAGCACTTTATGAGTTCACCCTCTCTCACATATCGGATAAAGTAAAAGTATGCATATTTGGCGTGCTGATTTTGGCCAGAACCCAGAGTACTCCCCGATCCCTGGTTGGGATAGGAAATATTTAAGATTGAGGAGTTGAGGTGGTGAAGGGACGCTGGAAAACTGTCATGGGATAGAGGTAGGTCGGCTATATATATATGCCTCCTCTCGTGCTAATTAGGTTAAATATCTGAATATGCTCATCCTGAACTTTGATAATAAAACATCTTTCAAAGGTGCAGTAAGCGATTTCTGAAAAAACGCTGTTGATATTTAAAATCGCCAAAACAAGCACGCCCCTACCCAAAAGATTCACACCCCTATCTTGAAAGCTCCACCCCTAAATTCACAAACACACTGCAACACAGGCACCTCCCCCATCATGAGTGTATATACATACATTACTCCTGATTAGCTGCAAGTGTGTTTTGGTGCTCGGTCCGTTTTACTTTACTACAGGGATTCCTTAATCCCTCCCTATTCTAGTGTAGCTTATTCTTATTCTAAACACAACTCACCGCATGTGTGGCACAGTTAGCAGCGTGCTCATATTCTGTTGGCTGATATCTCTTGTTAGATGGTACACGATTGTTCATAAATCTAAAAACAAAAAGAAAAAGTTAGAAAATGCAGGATCAGGTAAAGCTAATTTAAGCCAACACATTACATACTACTGTTACCTACCTGCTTACCTAAAGCTAGGGTAATGATGCCCTTGGCATTTGAGTTTGAATGTTGTTTAACAAAGTTAATTCTTTTAAACTGGTGGTTTCTATAAAATGTTTTGATTAAATAAACGATTCTGTAACTCAACATAGGCTACTGTGTAATCCATAAATGTCACCACATACTGTATTTCACTCACTCCTATACAGACATGTTGTAGAGCATGAAAATAAAAGTAGCCTTTTTCAATGAGATTTTAATACAAATTTGCCTCAATAAACTCCTTACGGCTTATTAATGGTTATTGGGTATGATTAAGGGATGTAGAATATGGTCATGCAGAAAAAGGCACTAATACACTCTAAACAATGCTGGGTTGGTTTAACCCAATTTCGGTCAAATATGGACAAACCCAAATGTTGGGTTAAAAATGTCATTTAAAATTTTAACCCAACTTCAAATTTCACTTTCAACGGTATTATTTTTTTTTTTATTACATTTTAACCCAACAATTGGGTTTTTCCATATTTGACCCAAATTTGGGTTAAAACAACCCAGCATTTTTTAAGAGTGTATGCATGTGCTTTAAACCAATATCCTAGTAATATAGCCTCATGTGAATAACCCTAAACAAAAGTGTAACCATTTTTTTTTAGCAAATGCATTATTACATTGTTTTATTATAATTGCTGATGAGTTAATCACCATATAGGTCAAATGATCATGTGACTGATAATAACTTTTGCAGTTGGCTGGCAGTGGATGGTAACCATGGAGAACCACAGATGAGTCTTTCATCCTTACACACATCCCTCCACAGTGCTGATGTCACTGTTGTCATGGAAACATATGAGACTGTGACGGAAAAGGAATGAGGCTGTGTGTGGTTTCTTTTCTTCTTCTTTTGTACCACAAAAGTGACACTTTGAATTCAAGACCACTAGTTTACGTTATAGTTTTGCTGAAAAATAGCTAAACTTAAAAATGTGATGCAGATACTGACATTATGTGCCAATTCAGTAGTAATTTGGTATAAATGAATGCACATTACTTGGAAGGATGATAAGAGTATTACACAATTTTCCTAAATGTTTATGTTACATTTGTATATTTGTTTGTCAGATATTTGCTTGAACAAAAAGCAGTAAGAACAGATTTTTTGACCACACAGTAGCATCATGATGGTTAATAAAGACTTAAATAAGCAATTTGAAATCAGCTCAAACAAAACTGATTTGACTTGCTAAGTTATGGTTGTAACTATGGTTGTTTCTTAATGACCACATCTAATTCAAGGCATATAACCCACATCTGTCCTAATTTCTATTGTTAGTAACCCAAATAACATGGCCTATATTGATTTGTTCTAGTATTCATTATAATGGTCAACACTTACTAAATCTCATGCGCCCCACAAAAAAGAAATCATGTTTATCATCTCTTAGTGATGTTGGCTCATTATTTTGTTGAAAACACGGAAGAAACTATTTTAATAATGATAATAATAAAACTAATTTACAAAACATGTCATTTTCATAAAAGCATCAAAAATACCATTGTCACAGTCATTGTCCTCTGCTGTTTATGCCACAGTGAAATTTTAGACAAGTTTCTGATATATAAAGAATATTTAAAAAAAAAGAAAATTTTAGCTTTATTTGTTTTCTTGTTTATAATTTCTGGAGAGTGATACTGTAAGCCCCAGCAAATAAAATACATTTATTTATTTTAGAAATTTAAAACATGGTTCCTAGGAATCCAAGAGGCTGTCCGTATTAGTTAAATTACCATTGTTTTTTTTTATATTTGGAGGAAAATTAAAGTTACCTCATGAAGCCAAAACCTTATTAATAGAGCCTAAACTACTTGAAACCGTACGGTAAGAGCCAGCATCACTCAAAATGTGTTCTCCCATTAGCACTTGCTATCAGCAGCACATCCTCCCAGATGTCAACTGTTCGTAGACGGCAATGAATCCCCGACAGCTCAATTTTACGTGCTCCGGTTTTACGTTTAGTCAAATCTTAGAAATGCTCAGTTCTACGCAAAGCAGCATTAAAACACCGTATTTTCTACCACTCCCATAAACATCAGTCAGGCAGCACGCAAATCGGTTCAGGGAGCATAGAACAGTAGTCTCTAGGAAATAACAATCATTTTAACAGTACAACGTAACTTTCAAGAATCGACATGCAGAGGTTTAAAGATAAACATTTTTTTATTACCCACGTAAAAGAGTAGCGTTTAGCTTCTCTTTGTGGCGCGTGGGTGTCACATCACAAAAGACAGCTAGACAGAAAAAAGACAGCATTGACAATACCCTCCTCTCTATTCCGAACAGTCGCTATTTTAATCGTATTTCTCTATTTTCTTTCATCTCCAGCGTCGCCACATTTAACGTTACTCACCTTATAAGTTTCATTTAAACGCGTGAAATCCAACAGTTGCGCGAGTCTACATAAAAACGTCGTAGATTGAGTTCAAAGCTCGTCACTCAGCGACACACGAATGCATTAACGTTCTCCGACACATCATTCGGCTGTTGAACTACACAACGAAGCGATCTTTATGAGCAATAATCCGGAAGTAGAGAGCATGTAACGGTCTCTGAAACCCGGTCTTCCTGTCGTCAGAAATGCCCCGAGTGGATCAGTCTCGTATGGTGGTGTATTCGATGTATCGTTCATCACATCACTCATATTGGCCGGATGCTATATTAGGTTCAATCATTTCTCAGTTTTAAAAATGCTTCATGCTGGCATTATACCTCAATTGATACATTTTATCGTTTTATCCTAAACTTGAGCTTACTTTTTTAATTATAGAAACTAGACTGATACACAGGATTAAAAAAAAAAAAAAAAAGTCAAGGTTTTGTTCAAACTTTTATTGAAACAAATCCAAACATGTAATTTGAAGTGCACAATTGTATATTTTAGGGTTTCAAAAATTTATTAATTTCCAGTGACCACACATAAACAGGAGATCGGATTCTAAACTGCAAGACACCAAAAGACTTCTTGGATCTCACGTTTGCAAATAAACCGTGTATAAAGGATGTAAAGCTGCATCATATCCAAGTGTACATGCCTTGCAGCCTCAAGGAGTCCAGAGAAAATCATATGGAGTTAAGTTGCTCAGGTAGAGTTTACGATCAACATTAACCGCCGACCAGTCAACCTATTTGACAAAAAAAAAAAAAAAGTATATAAATATATTGCAATATTGGAAAAAATTAAGTGGTCTCACCACCACATTTTGCTTTAGGGAGCTTGACGTACATTAAATGCAAAAAAAAAAAAAAAAAATTACAAAAAGGAAGAGTTCACACACTTCATTGGTTGACTTTTGTAGTTACGTGCTTCCCAGATATGATACAATTTAAATGACTGGGGCTTGTTCGCAAACACATTAGGTCCCAATCTTTTTAATTATAAAACCACATTAGTATACAAGCATTTAATTTTAAACAGGGATCGAACGATTAAGCTTTGAAATGTTTTAAATTAAAAAGGCTACAAGTTACTAAAAAGGCTAGAATAGCATCTGCCCCACCAAACATTCACTACAAAAGGCATAATTAAAAATATAAAGAATAACCTAAAATAAGTCACATGCAAGAGCCTCAGACTAGATTGTATAATCAGCTGCTGAATACAGCGTTCATACGAGGTGTCAGAAAAGTAATTGAAGTCATCAATGGCTCAACTTCTCAAAAAGTGCACATCAGAGCCCATTGTCTAAGTTTCACTTACAGTAATCTCTTGATCGCACAATGCAGATGTTATACTCGTTCAAAGGCGAACATCCTCCAAGTCCAAGAGTTTGTTCTCCCATGATTCAGCTAGAGACTCTACAACCGGAAACCTGGCGGGAGATTTAAGGATTTAATATAATTTGCACAAAATAAAGTCAATGAAAACATTGAGAGTCACATCAATGCAAAAAAAAGCGGGCCAAGCTATTATAGAATCAGATTAATGTACAGAACTTTGATTTTAACAAGGAGAATATAAATACACACATACATATATATATATATATACCAGAATAGTAGTATCTTCACCCACTAAACATTCACTACCAAAGCACAATAAAACAGTGCAATGTGGGAAACTTAGTCACATGTATCATGCGAGAAAGAGCCTCAGACTAGATTGTATAATCAGCTGCTGAATACAGCGTTCATACGAGGTGTCAGAAAAGTAATAGAAGTCATCAACGGCTCAACAATAATTTTACTCAAAATGCAAATGCATACATCAGAACCCCTCGTGTAGGTTCACTTACCTCAATCGCTTGATCGCATTCATCGCGATTTAGAATCAATGCATCAAATGCAGATGTTACTCGTTCAAACGCCAATGGCGGACATCATCCAAGTCCACGTGTTCCTGTCCTCCCGACATGATCCAGACTGGAGACCCTACAAGCGAAAAACAAAGATCGGTTCAAATGCGGTTCCCGTGTAAACCAAATTCAAGCCCTCAAACGAAAACCAGGCGGGAGATGTAGGGGTTTAAATGTATAATTACACGCAATAAAGTCAATTAAAACGTTTATGCTAGTGTTACTCAAATCATAAATGCAGATAAAGGTGGGTCTTAACTAATATCGCAAACTTACGCTAGTATTGGGATTCTGAAAAAATACTTACATGCTTGCAACCGCAAAGCGGGTTTCTGAAGACACGCACATGTTTCACCAAACTTCTTGATCACTAGACGTTGTCTGAGGAAAGAGAGGCAGGACTAGTGTTGAACCACGGCTTTTATATCCGCTCTTCTTCGCGACATCCACAAACGTCATAAACTGTTTCAAGCTCATACGTGCCCTCTGCTGGTTGGCTCTTTGCTTGAAAATACAGATGGACCGCAAAAGTTGGCAGACTACCAATGGGCTCTATGCACGGCGGTATTTCCGGTGAAGGTGTAACGATGCTTGATAACTTCCGCCGATCATAGAGTCCAATGCAATACCGAGAATTTATATTGAATTTTATACTCCATGGTTATACTAAAGAAACGTTAGTCACAAAAACAGATAAAACAGACACCTCTCGCTGTGTTTATGCTTCTTTTTTAAATTATATTAAATATCCATAACTATATATAAAATTACATCTAAACGTATGTACGTTTCGTTTCAAAGACAGGAGGACAGTTAATTTTGAAGACTCTGCCATAATCCCGTTTACCTCGGTTTTCCTCCACTTAAATCTCCACAACCGGAAATGGACGAGCATCCTTGCGTCAAATGCGGAACTTATGCGTGCATATAGCCCATTACCATTACACAGAAAAAAGGCTATACGAAAAGAGTCGGTGCCAACAACAAGTGTTTATTTCCAAGTAGCAGGAAGAGCTATTTTACATCTTGCTAAAAAAAACCAAGGAGTATTTCACAAACACACTTTTATCATTGTCAAATGTTGGCTAGAACTTGTATCACGTTGTAAATGTAATGTCTTTTAGATGTAAAATGTTACACGTCATCACCATCTACACAGACACAACAATACTAGTTCTTCACAAACTTCACAAACATGTCTAAGGATTTCGACACAGAGGAAGACTTGCATTTTTTTGCCCAACCATATTTATTTGAACCCGAATACATGGACACACCAGAAACACGCCACCAGCATCTTACGTCATCAGCGTCACTGACTTGTGAGCGCGGCTCGACAACAGAACCGGAAGACAATTCAATGCTGAATAAAGTCGTATTTTTGGTTATTTTTGGACCAAAATGTATTTTCGATGCTTCAAAACATTCTAACTACCACTGATGTCATATGGACCACTTTGATGATGTCTTTATTTCCTTTCTGGACAAGGACAGTATTCTGTACATACATTTTCAAAGGAGGGACAGAAAACTAAATCAGAAATATCTTAAACTTGGACCGACATGAGGGTGAGTCATTAATGACATTTTTTTTTTTTACATTTTTGGGTGAACTAACCCTTTAATATCAGCTCTATCATGGAACACAGATGGCTTATACTTAAAGCAACTGAAATCAAGTCCGCACCACAACAGATATACACACGTTTTTCGAGCTATATATGTCAAATACTCAAATGCATAGGCTAATGAAAGAGATATATATACTACACACATAGCCTACCGTTATTGAAATGAATATTATTGCAAAATACTATGCAAATAGAAATTTAAAAAGTTCATACCAAGTTTTAGAAACTTTTATGCAATGGAATGGTTCGGATGTTAAAGGTTCTTCATCTGAACCACATATGAAACTCCCTTTTAGTCCAAGCTATCCGTCACTTACTGACATGCATATTTTTTCAAACAGATCCTATTCAAACAGAAATCACAAGTTCTACCAGAAAGACTCGGGAGAATAACACTGTAACAATTAATTTATTAACAGCCCATGCAGCAAGCTTTGGCATAGGTCCCGTCAGTAGCTCACAATCTGAGAGTACTGACTCTGCATTTCCTGCCTAAAGACGAAGGCAGGGGTGCAGCCGACCCTGTCCTGGTAGTGGTGGGAGGATGGAGGGGAAGGGACCGTCTTGTGGTGGTGGGGAGGATGGAGATAAATGGAAACGTCAGCATCAGCAGCGACTGTAAGTCTTTTATACTGCAAGTATTAGAAAACGATTGATGAGAAGGTAATGAGTGACGTAACAATTGATTCTTCCTGGCAGAACTTATGCTAGAGCTTCATTTTATAAGAACAGGCCGAATTTCCTGGAAATAGAAACTGAAAGTAATTTGGAAGTAAAGGCTATGACTTGACTTTGCACAGTCATGCTGTTTGCAGTTCATCATGATTGAGTTCCAACAGCAAATGAGTGTTTGATTTAATTTGAATGCAAGATGTCCTTTCCATTTCATAGATCAAATTAAATTGATAAGTTTAAAACTGAGTTTTTGGGTATTAGCCCTGTATGTTAATAGAAGAACACATCAATGAAATTGCAAAATGCAACCAATAGCCTACCTCAGCAAAACAAAAAGAGTGATTAAACAATCTGAAATGTTCAATTGTTCCTATATTGTTGTTCCTCTAAATCTGACTTGATTTTGCACTTCCCTGCAGTTCACGATGAGCTCTCAAAATACCAGAGAATAACACATTAAATTTACATTATCAAATGAGTATGTATTCAATAATATAATTAAATTTATTAAATAAGATAATTCACACTGAAATTTAAATGTATTCATCCTCACCCAAATAAAATGTTTGGGTCATACCCCTTTAATTTAATCTGTTCGGGTGTATCGACTCTTAAGGTGTAAAATCAGTGACAAAAAAAAAATAATAATATACTCATTGTATACTCATGATATATATATATATATATATATATATATATAATATTCTAATCTAGTTTAGAGCTGAGCATGCAGAGAATACATTTCAACATGAATTTCAAGAAAGTCATGCTTTCTCTCAATCTAAATGTATACATTGCTCCAGATTCACTGTTTTGGACAGGCTGAATACATGTATTGTCAAGAAAAAAATAACAATTAATGATTAAATATTATATTTGTTCAACAGATCTCAATAAGTAAAAGTTTTGTTCATGTTTGTTTTAAATAATCAAAAATACAAGAGTGTCAGTGCATTATTCCCACATTACTTATTTGTGTAATTTAATAGTTTTAATTCTGAATCTTTACATTCATTTTCAGGTTTATATTAGATTTTTAGTCCCAGATATTCATTGACTTTGAACCCCACTGTACATTTATTTATAGAATTTAACACAAAACATAATCCTTCATTGTAATTTTAATCCACAATCTTTCTTAAATGATAAAGAAAATGTATCACATTCAAAGAATGACCCACTCCAAATGCATCAATACTGTATATGTGATGTCAAATACGATTGCCAAATACAGTTTGGATTGGCGGTATGGTTCTGTTCTGAGCAAAAACTCCCAGCGCATGCAGCACATTCAGATAGCTGATAATACTGAAAGAGCTTATGAATATCGTATTCCTACAGGTAGACGTGGATAAGCTGATGTGAGCTTGACTAACATAATATCCAGAACAGATGCTATATGCTTGATTTTTGTCAGTAGCTTTCATTGTCCACCAATCTATCATTGGCAATATAAACAATCTGTTCAAGTGCCTTTAGTATCAGAACATCAATGTCATCATCTGTGTTAATCTCGTTATGGTAGTTCTTCACTGGGAAGATGTTTGACAATGGCACACCAATTTTGGCACTGCACAACTCCATCTGGACAGGAACAGAATGTTAGGTCAGAAAATCAGATGTGGCTATTAGAAGAATCAGATCAACATGGGCAATATACGTATACTTGCAATCTGTAAAATTTAAACAAGCGTATGTCTTTGGTTGACATCACAAACCCTCTCTTTGATGATCTTGCTAGTGTAGATCTTCCTTAGATCTTTCTTGACCAGCGGACATGCTTCATCCACTTTGGTCATGACAACCACTTGAGGAATCCCTACAGCAAATGCAGAGGCAATGTAAAGGTTCTATAACAAGTTTTTTTCCTCAACAAAATTTAACACATGTTTGGCATTTTGTTGTGCATACAGTATCTACATAACTGACCCACATGGTCTGGGTCATATAAATAATTAGGCAAAAAAAGTTGAAAAGTACATTGAAACATGCCCTGTTTGCATTTGTCATTCAGCCTGTGTCTGGACATCGAAAACAACACTTAACTCCTAATAAATGTGAACTCATGAATAAAAATAAACATTCAGTTTCACCCCTTTCACTGATTCTCTTGCGGATGATCTTCAGCTTGTCAATAAGTTTTTCATTTGTGAGTTCGACTGTATTTGTGTCTATGACGTACACCAGGCAGAAAGCCTGATCAGAGAGGAGAGGGTCACTGGTGTAATGTTGATCCTCGTGAGAGATTGTCTCCGCCTCATTGAACTGAGAATGGAAATTCAGAAAAATGTGTTAAACGTCAAACCTACTGCACACACAACTTTGCCAAAATGTTCATTTAGTGGTTTGTTACTTTATAGCCATCCTTCACGTGTCCAAACACAGCATTGATGATGTCATCTGCCTGTGATCCAGCCAATATCTCAGCTTCTAAGCCCATTATGTCCTTGAAGACGAAGGGCAAAGTTTTCCCCCCACTTCTGATGGTGAATCCTTTGAGCTTCAAATGAAGATCAAAATATAGAAGCACACATTTTTGTGAACATTTTTTCCAAGAAATGCTCATACAACAATTAGCTTAAATGCTAAATGCACTGTCACCAGACATTTCTGGGTCTTTTAGAAAACATTCGACTTCTGTATAGGTATACCTTTTGTGTGAAACTATGACTGCCACCACCAGACGAATTCACTAGCACTCTAGAGGTGATCCGTCCTTGAAAGGCATTATTGATTGAGTTAATAAAGCTGGACTTTCCTGCTCCAACTTGTCCAGTTACCAGGATCTTGATGTCCTTTACATTTGGATCACTAGGAGAGAAGTTTTCCAGCTTTTCCTTTAGATCTTCTTTTATTCTGTTAAAGCAAAACACAATTTTACAGAACAGAACTCAAAGCAGATTTGTTCTATGTGGCACAATAGAGTCTAATTTGGAATAGCATTACCACATTACAGTTTTTGAAATTAAATGATATAATGTTAATTTCCATTAAGAAGTAACAAAATGATCCACTTCTTGTAAGATTAATGTATACCCTTTTTTAGATGTACATTTCTCTATTTCTATATCAATTATTGTTGCCAAATTACTTATCTGGCAGTTTCAATGCCAACATTGTCATTATTAATGATAACTTCTGAGGATAGTCATTAAATTGATTAAATTGACTCCTTTCTACTTTTTGTTATTTTTACCAAAGTGAAAGGTTGGATACATTTTAATGCTAAAATAATTCATACAATTATTTGTTATAATAACATATGTTAAAAAAAAAATACATAAAAAATATAACACATCATCATGGCTAACCATATTTTTCCACGTCCAAGTGCTTGAGTCCCCTATAAGTGCCTTGCTAGCAACTCAAGACTTCAGCAGAATTACTTCAAATATATTGTTAAACACAAGATTCTTGCAATGGTGAGAGAAACCAATAATATTTTACAAGGAAATCAAATTCTTAGCTTAAACAATTTGCACTTTTAACTGAATAGATCACTGTTTTGACTGCTATGCACAAAGATAATATCTAGCCTGCATAAAAGCGAAATAAAGTAGCCAACTGTCTGTAATGTATAGCTTACCCCCAGTCAAAGTTCCGCCATGGTCTATCCAGTTCTATGAAAAATAAAATAAGTTTAACATTAATTTGGTATTATGTATCAATTTGAAATCTATGGTGTATGCATACGTGTTCTGTATAAATAAATAAAAATCACAGGGAAGAATGACCCTCTCACCTGGATTTGGTTGATGCACTGGTTTTGATCCAGACAATCCCATTTTTTCTCCTTTGAAATATTTATATCAGTCTGTCCTGGAGCACAGTTGACTTGTATCTCACTGTAAGCAAGCCCTACTGCAGAACGGTCTAATAATATCTGTCTGCAGAGCCGCAGAGCCGCAGTTTCGCCGCAGAGCCGCAGTTTCACCCCAGCAGTTTTACACCAGCAGTTTTACCCCGCGCATGCGCAGTTTCGCCACAACAGTTTTAAGCAGTTTTATCTGCGCATTCGTAGTTTCAATATAGCAGTTTTACCCGCGCAAATTGTTCAGTATTAAAACGATCTAATGGTTATTGCTACCAATTATTTTTGCTTATTAGTCTGCAGAGCCACAGTTTCACCCAGCACATGCGCAGTTTCACCTCAACAGTTTTACCCGTGCACGCGCAGTGTCAATAACCTATATAGTATTTGTTACCAATTATTTTTGCTTACTAGTTATTTTTTTGCTGTTGCTCGCAGGCTTTCAGGTTCCTTTACTGAAATAAAACAGTGCTTGTATCAGGAGCACACTAATCTTTTACGTTTTTTCCTCCAAAACAATAAATAGCCTGGCCTATATATATATATATATATATACACACACACACACACACACACACACACACACACTTAATTGCTCAATACCTGGTATAACACAAACTTCTGATTAGACATTCAAAGGCGAACTATTAGTCTAAATCAATATTTGTCTAATTATTCTTAAATTAATTAAATCTGCCTGATGAAACAAATGACTTGAACACAAATTATTAACAATTATTTCAAATATTTTATTAATTTTGAAGACATTACCAAGAATACAATTATATTTCAATTCAATTACCAGAGAGACATACTAATACAGACAGACAGGCATACGATTCAGACAGACAGGCACACTGATACACATACACAGTGATACAGACAGACATATTGATACACAGCCATACATACTGATACAGACAGACAAACTAATATACATACACAGACATACTGATCCAGACAGACAGGCATACTGACATACATACACAGACACACTGAGACAGACAGACATATTGATACAGACAGACCGTCTAATATACAGTACATACACAGACATACTGTTACAGACAGACAGACAGCAAGTCTGTCACCAATTAGAAAATAAATAATAATAATTAAATGTCAGGGTTTTAAAATGATGACACTCTAACATTTTTCTTTGTCCTTAACCTCAGACATGAAAAAGGGCATGACCTCTCTGTTTTTAAATGTAAAATAGAATGTGGCTCTTAATTTATCATCCTCATCCAAAGTTGTGGCACAATGTGAATGTAGTGGAGAAAGGGCTTTCTTCCTCCTCCATGCTGTCAATGCTTGCTTTCATCAGCGGGTGATTGTCCTTCAACCATTCCACACCTTTCCTGATGCTGCTCATCATATTGGCATTCTTTATGAAAAATATTTGAAAATTAACAGCAATCAACAATTTTATATTTTCAGATAAATAAAACGTCTAAATATATTATATACATTGCAGAACTCTACAAAATACCTCAAGATTGTGTGGTGTCGTGTCCCCCTCCAGCGCTCCTACTCCATACTCAATTTCTCCTGGTCCATTCATCTGTTGTAGAAGAGCACAGTGATGTAATGTATTTCAATTGTCCACTACAAAATGTTTCATTTAATAAAATGTATAATTTCATGCATATGCAATGCAGAACCAAACTAAGATTTGATTTACTTCAAATTTGCACAAGAGAATTCATCTATTTGAATCAATCCATTTTATAAAAACAAACAAAAATAACAAAGGTCAATGTCCCTGCCCTAATACATGGTGTCCACCAGTTAAGACTTTTAAGCCCTTTTTAATACCGCATTATAAAACTACAACATTACATTTAACAACATTACAACCCCCCCCCCCAAAAAAATTAAAATTAAATAAATGTAATGTAAGTGTGCTATGTAATAACTGAGTAGGAAGAAATGAGAGCTAACAGAAAAAAATAAGTGCAAAATTGTCGTTTATTAACAAAATTAAACTATAGCTACTCCACCTTGATGAACCCCCCCTAAGAAAACTAAGCTCCATTGTAACAGCAATAGCAGTGTTTCTCACAGGATTTTAGGTAAAACTGTGGTCGGTGGACCTCTGTTTCTCTAGGGGGGTTCGGGGCATGCTCCCCCGTAAGAAAATTTTGTGTTCTGTAATGTTAAATTTAGCAGTCTGGTGCACTTTGAGAGTTTAAAATTAAAAGCTCCAACCCATTTTCAGGGTGCAAATTAAACAGAGAAAAATTTGAACCTCTTTTAGTTAGTGTCTGTCTACATTACACTACTACATAATAATAGTTAAAATATTAATCCCATGATAGTAATTGCCATTAAGGCTATTGTGAAACAAATGCACAGAAAAATAAAGGAAACTTTCATAATTAGTTTTGCACTAATTTCTATACTTGAAAGATACTTGCGCATAATGACATATTTCATGGGCCAGTGTGTCAGAAAAAAAAAACTAAAGCTGACTTTTTTGACCAATGCATTACACCAGCACAGCGCCGCCAATTAAGCAACAAAAACAAACAACAAACAAACAAATGGGCCGCCGATGTATGAGTTTTGTGGGCCGTTAAGACAAATAAATTAAAAAAGGAAAAGCACGTCGGCCCAGCGGGAATCTCCCGGTAGTCCCGATGGCCACCGAGATATAGATAGCCTATGCCTGGATGTCACATTTTAAATCCTACCTGTTGGCTTTCAGCAATGCATGCAGTTATTTAGCTGCTGTTGCATCAATTGACATGCCATCTCCTTTTCTCTCTTTCTTTTTCTATTTTTAGCCCCACAGCATTTTGTTTTATCCATCTTTTTCGACGACAACTAACTACTCGTACCTGCTCGCTCAGCGCTCACGGCGCCCCCGCCCGCTCGCGATATTACCCGCTCCCCTTCTCCATGAGGGCGCCCACTCTAGCCTGGCTGTTAGTCCTCTAAAATGTTATATAACATTGAAGGAATGCAGAAATGATTTAGAAACGGACAACGGCAGCTACATATAGAAATACAATATAGCCTATATATAAAATTTTTTTTTTTTTTTTACCATCACTTTGGCGCCCCCCATTGTGCTGCGCCCCTATGCGCCGCATATAGCGCATACCCACTTTTTGCGCCACTGTATAAATGCTAACTCAAGTGAAGTTCTGCTACAAGATGGCGACATCCGGCCAGCTTCAAATTCTGGTCGATGGATTACCCCCTTGGCAGCAGCCCTTCCGCCATTTTGGAGTGAAAGTGACTCAGCAGTGGCTCGGCAGTCATATATTATACATGTATTTAGTCCAGTGCAAAGGTAATTTTTTTAGGACCATTTTAGGTCTTTATAGCAGTTAAAAAGATGTTGCTACCTAACCAGGCTTTTCCCCCCACATAACTTGAGACAGGGAAGTTCAAGGATTTAATCAATTATTACTCTCCACATTTAGTGACAGGTAAGAATAAAGTGATATCAGTTCATAAAGTTATAATATCATTAGATCATTTCCCAGGAGGTACACATAACGTTACATTCAAAAATAAGTTATCAATGAAATAAATTAATTCAGCAAATAAATGTTGTACTAAAATGTAAATGTTGGACAATAAATATATATAACAGCAATAGAATAGCTTTACAGTAAACTGTTTTTTTGTTTGTTTGTTTGTTTGTTTGTTTTTTGCAGTACTATCTTATATTATAATGACCGTTAAATCAAGACTATGTAAACAAACAAAAAAAACACAGCCTCCGTTCAAAGTGGCAATGAAAGTTATAAGATAACGGACACAGCGCATCATTGATCATCATGTTTGTAGCATGATCCAGGGGATTACGTAACAATCCGTCACGCAACATGCGCACCTGGGGCCTATACAATGAAGCTGGTTTAGGTGGCTAGCCAGTTATGTTTCAGTTTAGTTTGCGCCAACCCATGGGTTTTAGGTACCATGAAAGTGGTTTGGCTTTTAGCAGTGTTCATCGCCATAGTAACTTGTACTCCACGGCTAACCTGGTCTGGGGCAGGTTATGTTCCATGCAGGCAAGAGGTTGCAAACCGAATTTGGACCAATCAGCAGGATCAAAGCCTGAGTTGACGGGGAAAGTTGACGATCAGCATCATGGTACCAACAAAGCCTGGTTGTATTGGTTTAGTTTTGTCAACTCAAAACTAATGATGCAACCCTGAGTTTGTTCAACTACCATCATGGTACAGGCCCCTGCTCTTAAAGGGTATGTTGGATGACGCTCTGGGGTGCGTTTCCCTTATAACGATGTAGTTCGCTGCTTCAGTACCAATGCACGATGCATCGTTGGAGAAATCAACTAGCTAGTCGCGTCTGTTTCCCGAAACCCATTGTCGCAAAGTATCATTCAACCACGTTGGTTTCGCACGTGGTGGAGTAATAACTACTTTTAATGAAACTGTTTGAGACTCAATTAACGCTAGATTTGTTAATATAAATTACAGACATATGTCATCTGAGGACTATTTCTAATGGTTCTCAGTTATTTTGCTTTATTACCAGACTCAATATTTGGCTCGTTCTTACACAGTAGAGCACGTTCACACATGCACACTCTTCAAACACGGTACTTTAAATCTTTTGACAAACTAAAAGGCGTAAATTACATTTTTATGTATTCTGAATAAAAGGCATCAGTTGTACTGAATGTCAGCTTGTTTATTTTGCTCAAGATAAGGATTTATTACGTCCAATGTGTAGCAATATAGAAACGATGATTCTAACCATAGCTCGAGAGCTGTCGTTCAAACCACACAACTTTGCGACGCTGTTTGCGAATGTTCGTTGGAACGATGGTTTCGGGAAACACCGACTCGTTGAACTATGCTGATAACGACGGAACTTGCAACCATAGTTGGCTAACGATGCTTTCAGGAAACGCACCCTTGATTGTTTTATTTCACGTTACGCCCAAACCACACCTATGAATAATGAGGCTACTTCAGACCAACACCTTTTAAGCGTTCGCCGGGCGCAAGAGTCATTTATCCCGCAGGTAAATGGTAAATGGACTGCATTTAAATAGCGCTTTCATAGACCTAATGGCCACCAAAGCGCTTTACATATTGCCTCATTCATACACCGACGGCGGTGTCAGCCATACAAGGCGCCATCCAGCTCGTCGGGAGGTGTCTCGAGGTGACACTTGGTCGAGGTGTCTTGTTCATGGACACCTCGACACTTGGTCAGGTGGAACCTTTCGGTTTGTAGACAACCTACATGAACCACTGAGCCACTGCCGCCCCTAAAAATAGGGTAATGCCGGTAAAATAGCAATAGCGCCTAAGACCCACCCACAAACTTTCTTGCGGTTTGCGCTTGATACTTGCGTTTCAGATCGTTAAAATAGAGCCCCAAGTGTATATCTGCAAGTTCCAGCTCAGACCTAGCGTCAACTCAGGGATGTCTCTCAATGAGTTTCCTCGTTTTCTCTTTATAGACCTCAGCTTTTTATCCTCACGTAAAATAAAGTTTTGGGTCATCTACCCCTTTAATTGAATCTGTTAGGGTGTACCAGTGGTGCAGGTGTGAAATCAGTGAAAAATAATAAAATAAAATACAATAAAATAAATACAATTTTTATACATATACTGTTTATGTATCATTCATAGTAGACAATGTCAGATTTATTAAATTTCAACAAGCTAGATCAGCAGTGCATGCAGAACATGAATTTCAAAAAAAAAAGAAAAAAAAAGGTGTGCGTTCTCTCATCTGATTGCTCCAGATACCCCAATTCAGGTTGAATGCATGTTGTCAAGAAAAATAAGCAAAGATTAAATAGGATTTAGTCAACAGATCTCAATAAGCAAAAGTTATTTTGTTCATAAATGTTTTGAAGAATCTAATATACAAGAGTGTCACTGCATTATTCCCACATTGCTTATGGTATTTGTGTTATTAGCTTTAATGTTTTTAGATGTAGAAAGTTTTTTAAAAAATTTGAATTCTGAATCTTTCTATTAATTTTCAGGTTTAAATGAGATTTTTATTGACTTCTGTACTTGTAAACACAAAACATAATCCTCTCAATACTAATTTTAATCCACAATAATAAAAAAAAATAATAAAAAACCAAAAATTATCACAATCAAAGACTGACCCAGTCCAAATCCAATATACTGTGTGTGATTTTTATCAGCTTCAATATTCACCAATCTATCATTGGCATTATAAACAGATCTGTTCAAGTGCCTTTAATATCAGAGTGTAACTGACCTCGTCTCACACCACAAAGAACTCAACGACACCACTGAAAGAGGACAGAAAATCAACACACACGCCTTCAGGGTTTACTCTCTCTAAGCTCGCTCTCTCTAGTCACAGGCTGTTCTGAGAGCATTTTATACAATAAAGTTTTGTATTACAAGAATTTTGTCTCTCATTTATGAAAATTCACTTTCACACAAAACATATTAAAGAAATAAAATAAAATTAGTTACACATTTTTACATTAACATTATAGCCAATATGTCCCAATTTCTTAGATCGTAGAGTGGTTTTTTTTTCCTTATTCAAAACAATTACACATACCTGCAGTTTATTGAAAGAGGACAGAAAATCAACACACACGCCTTCAGGGTTTAGTGCAGGTTTTCCAGTGTTAATAATTTTCTTCACAATTAATTTCGGTGGATTGAGTTTGTAGATATGTTGTTTAGTATGTTAAATGTGTGTAGCTTTCTTCTGGATGTTAAAATTGATGTTTATAGCCTTATGTGTTACTAGGAAATGATATGAATTGGAGTTAGAGGGGACAGTGTTTAACGTGTCTTTTCTCATACATCCTTCAGCTGAGAGAGTTAAGGTGAACATTCAGCCCTGATTGAGCATGATTAAAAAAGGACAGGTGATGTGACAGTGATAATCATGCATCTGTCCATCAAATGTACCATCAAAATCCAAATTTGTTTATATTTACAAAATGCAATTAAATCAGCAGTGAAAACATTAGAAATCTTTTCTTAAAGGGGTCATGAACTGGCTTTTTAAATTGTATTATTGTTGTCTGAGGTGAACTGATGACGTTCGTTTGGTTTTTGCATTCAAAAACATCAAAATGAAAAAGTAATAGGCCATTTGAAAAACGCTCGGTTTTTTATGGGCGTCTCGCACTGAAGACATGGAAGTAAATGCCCACTGCTGTAGGTGGATAAAAGTTTTGCATATTATAATGGGGTGAATTAATCACTTAATATTAATAGTCGTTGGCAAAATATAACTAATTGAAAAGCTGTCTTTGCCGACTTGGGCAGGTTTCTGTTCTTTTTTTTTTATCCACATTCAGGATTGATGTCAAGAAAGCATCTAAAAGGCCAAAGCATTCTCATCCCAAGGCATCATATACGACACTTTTGCCAAAGCGTAGACATGCACCCATGGCACAGCTCATATGGCAACCTTTAGCATCAAATAAGATGTTTCGGTTATGGTAGGTTTAGGTGTGGGGTAGGGTTAGGATTTGACCACTAGGAGGAGCCTTCTGCCCCATATATATCTGCGTCTCATTTGACGCTAAAGGGTGCCATGTGCGTTGGGATAAGAACGGCTGAAAAGAAAAAAAAAAACAATGAAATATATTAGATTAGATTTTGATTTTTATAAAACTACTTTATTACGTCACTTCAATTCATCAAAAAGTTAACACCACAAAATATCAAAACACAACTCTCCCTCCTCCACAGATATCATCATTCAAAAGTTCCCACATCATTTATTGCTCTAATACCTCTGCATTTCTCCTTACAATAAGTATGGCAAGTTTTGGTTGACTTACCAAACATGTATGATCTGTAATGTGAGAAATAGAGAGAAAGACAGGCAAAAAGAGAACTTACACAACTGTCGTCGTGTTCATGTATGGTCCTTGTGTCAGGGGCTTCGGATAGGGAGTAATAGTGGAACAGAGTAACCGGGGCCCTCGGTGAAAGGGGGGCTCACAAAGATATATGCAAGTCCGTAGGAACGAACCCTTTGCTAGGTTGAACCCAGTCTCATCTATAAAGATGAACTCATGTGGGATTGCATGAGCATCCATTTCCAGTACTCCCTGGAAACAAAGAACAAAAAATCAGTCAATATGGTGTTATCCAGTACACTGGGAAACAATGTTGAATGTAGTGTACTGCAGTCAATTTTGTATTTACATCCACATATTCTCTCAAACAGCACCTTAAAGTTGTTTCATTCTGATTTGTTTTCTGTTGAGAATGCGAGCCAATGTGGACAGACAGACTCGTTGAAAGTTGTTGAATGTGGTGTTGTCTTGGATGACGTGGCTTTGAATTTCTCATAAATAGATTTCATTATTTTCCAAAACCAAGTTTACAATGCCAGCTTCCTGCACCCCATGAAGATTTGTCCCCTTCCTCCACCATTGCGTTTCTCAGTCCTTTAGAATAAATAAATATAGAGCTTGGACAATGCAGCGTAAAGATATTTCCCCCACAGTAGAGTACATTGCACAGGAAACGTGTACATTTAGTGTAAGACATCAGCCATTCATGAAGTAAACAGGTGTCACCCAACTGAAACACATGGGGTTTTGTTTACTAAATGAAATTTTCGTTACATACCTGTAATAGTAATAAGTGTGTACAATAGTATGCATGCAAAGTAACTGTAAGTAATAAGTAGACAGTAACGTGAAAAAAATATGACCAATTATAAAATGCTTTACAAAACTCTCAGATGTCACTATGGTTATATTCATAACAATTTATTTATATTAATTCCACATATTCTCAATGCTTTTTACATGGAAGAGGTCTTTGATGATTTTTTCACCAGGGTCAGACAAACACATTAGCCATCTGAAGGTTTACACAAAATAACAACTGATTATTACACAGCTTTACACTGTAAAAGTTTTTATACTCCAACATCTATTACATTGACTTTGCAGGGTCATAATCAAGGACAAAATTGTCATGATTGTCGGAAAATACTCAGTTGTTGCATCCCAGATCCCTGGTTTTAAAGTATTACTTATAAAGCTAAATTTATAACATGGTGCATGGATCAAAAATATTGCTCTGTAGTCTTATACATCTCGCAATGACGGTATTAAATTATCTAATTTTATCCACTTGTATGGAATACGCAACTTCTTCTGTCAGCAAGTCTCTTTTGTTTGCATGACAAAACAGGAATAATTGCACTGTCCAAGAGATCAACACTCTCAGCCCTTACAAAAAGTACTGTGGTGGTACTGTGGTATCAGATGGTAATACAACAGTACTTGGTACTGTACCATGGTACTGTATGGTCACCATATTCATGTACTGTAGAATATACAATACATTGTCATCCAAGAAAAATACCATGGTACCATGTCCAAAAACATGGTACATTTTTGTAAGAGATGACAAACATTCAAACATCTCTTTCCTAGAACTATAAACACACACTTCCTTATTCTCTCACTCTCAAATAGACCTCCCCTCCAAACACACAAACAAACACACACATAAACACTTATTAGAGCACATTAGGAATGAGCAGGTGTCTGTATCATTCCATACTCTAGACTATCAATGATAACTATAACCTATATGTCATATATACACTACTCTTTTCCAGAGTCTTATTCTGAATTCTGTCTATATCTATGTATTACACCTTGGGCAGAGTGGGATTTGTCAATGCAAAAACTACACTACACAGTCAAACATTCACACACACTGACGACAACAACAACAATAACAGCAACAACAATAACAACATACATAAAGATTACAATATACCTCTTTAAGTCCAAAGCTTTTCTTCATTATACTTCAAGGGATCAAAGAAATAGTCCAAAAAAGTCAGGGTCATAAATGGGACTGTGCTCTTCAAATTTGTCGTCCAAACCAAGTGTTATTCAGTAACTTGTCCAGCTGAAGACCACAAGGTGAAATTCAAAGCTCCCCTTTACTTGTGAACAAGCTCTCAGCAGAGATTTGGAAAAGAGCAATACACCTTCCTAACATCATCAAAGAGAATATGATGTACATTTACTGTTCATAGCACTGCCTTTAAACGAAATATTCATCGAACTCTCACCCCACATATTGTACACACATATACACACACATATTAGCATTTCTCTGCTTGATATTTAGAAAGCTTGTCACATAGTCTCTCTTAAAATTGTGCTTATCTCTGGAAGCAGCAAGACAGCAGGCCGTATTTGCAGGTCAGGACATGTACTTGCAGTACCTATTCTGGCCACTACAGTAAGACAAAACGCTGGTGGAGAATGAAAAGGTGGAGAATGTTAGTCAAAATTTAGGCTTCTTTTCTCAGAGATGCTTAATTGTAGACTTAGACACACTTTAGAATGGAAGAGCTTAATTTGCCCTATCGAGATTCCAATACTGCTGAGGCATCAAAGTTGGTTTCGCTTGTCCACACTGAAAAAATGAAGCTCGAGTGTTTCACAGGTCCTAAGGAATCTAATATATTTTTTCATTTTCAATCTAACATGGCATCCAACTGGTCCGCAAGGTCATCAAACATGCTGCCAATGTCATCGAGAATGTTAACTGTGCTCTTGTTGTCCACAATGGAGCTGAAGAGGCAAATAAACAGAAAGTAGAAGAAAAAGAATGGTGAGTTTCAACAAGTAACATCATCATCATGCAATGAAGAGACTGCTAAGTGCCAAGGAGGAAGAGTTGTGTTTTATACCTGTCATCCTTCTTAATCTTCTCCTCCACTACCTCCAGAGCAGCAGCCAGGGACGCACTGGTCTCCTCCAGTTTGAGTTGCACCATGTTCCCTGAACCAGCTATCAACAACCCTTGGCTTTCCACTTCTGTTTTTCCAACTCCATCTTGTGGTTCACCCTCTACTTGTGTCTGTCTGGCTACGCCTACCTTCCTCCTTCTCATTACCACCGGTTCTGCTCCCTCCCCAGTCTCTTTGAAATGACTCCCAGCTGAGCAACCTGAAATCAGGCCTTGTTCACCTTGAAAGGTTGGATCAACCTGGATCAGACCTGTCCTTTCCATTCTAGCTATTCCGACTTCCTCAACTCTTTCTTGCTTACTCACTTCATCTTTCTCTCTCTGTTTTTCTACTTCTCTAAGCTTCTTTTGCATGTCCACTCCAGGGATCTCCACTTCCAGAGGGCTTGGGATGTCCACTGAGAGACCAGCCATGGAGGACCTCGGGGGCTTTACTGGAGCTGAACCTGGTGTAGAGGGTGTTTGCGGGGTTTGGGGTGTCTGGGGGGTCTGTGGACTCTGAGCTGGAGAAGTTACTGGGCGTGGAGACAACATGCCGGAGACCTCCATTGGTTTTGGGGTGACCGGACTCAAAGTCTGTGGTGGATGTTCCAGTTGTTCAATTGAAGCAGGGCTAAAGGAGACATTGGATGGGCTGAGAACATCAGCCTGAGGAGAGCCGGGAGTTCCAGTGGTATGGATAGGCTTGATTTTGACAGGTTTGGGCAGTGTAGGAGGTGGACTTGGCTTGGGAGATACTGGAGGGGGGATTTTCTTGATCTCCACTATAAAGAGACAAACAAACCATAATGTACAACTTACTTAAATCCATTCAGAAAATATATTTCACTACATCAACCGGATATCAGGAAGGTCTCTGTTGATGTCAAGCTAAGCAGGGGACCTGGTTTCATTGAACTGCTGTTTAAAAATACCCATGAAACGTTGGCTTGCTAGGCTGATTTATACTTGTTAGCCAGTTTGCAGGACAAAGGGTGAGATAATATGAGGAACACAATGACCTCATAGATAGCATTCTTACCTGGGCTATGTTGACCTTCTGGTCCAGGTAATGGAACCCTCCTTGAAGGAGTTGGGGGATCGAATTTGCGAAGTGCCATTGCTGGTTTGGGTGAAACTGGGGGTTTCAGTATTTGTCTGGGAAGAGAGCCAAAGCTGTCGTGTTGCAGTTCTTCCTCCCTACCACCATCTCCAGCGCAAGCTTCTGATACAGGTCTTCTCCGGAAGTTCTCTAGCCCATCTCCGTCAGTGCCATTACTCTGTGGTGGAGCCAATGCTTTGGGCCTTCGCTTTATCGTACTCGTTTCTGTCAGGTTAAAATGTTCACTATCTGAATAATGTGGTGGTCGTGGTCTTCTCAAAGTCGCAGTGGCATCCATCCGTGACCACTCCTCTTGTGGTAGAGAAGAAACAACTCCTTCCAGGTGAGTGATCATGGAACGTGGACGTGGCTCAGGAGCCTGTTTAATTGGATGGGATTCACAAGGTGCTGGTCCATGATGCGCGAGGTCCTGCATGGCTCGTTTCATCTCAGCCTCTTGTACATCATTGCCAGGCTGCTTTTGAGAGTCGTAAAATTCACTGATTGTGCGGCGGCGACTATCTGCATCGGAATTCAGAACTTCTCGGTTCTGCCGAAGGACGTTTTGACTTGCCTGAAGAACAGGTAAAACATCAAAACTCAGTTAGGCATCAATACGTACCTACGTATGTGTAAAACATTGCTACTATACAACTGAATTTTTAAAGGGATAGTTCACTTTGAAATTATTTTTGATATGTTTTAGCTTACCTCAAGGGCATCCAAGATGTAGGTGTCTTTGTTTCCACAGTATTTTCAATTTTGACATTTTTCAGTCAAACTGTTGTTGTCTTTCAGTCATACACTGGAGGCTAAGGGGGTCCACCAAAAAGCACGCAAGTCAAAATTAAACATAATTTAATGACTCGTAAATGTAAGTACACATTGATGGCCTAAGACACGAAACGAGCAGTTTGTGTGAGAAAACGAACAGTATTTATATCGTTTTTACCTCCTGTAATCATAGCCATGACAAAATGATCTGACGGCACGGGCGCTTCGGTCTGCATATTTAGATATATACGGGAAACCGCAATGGAAGACGATTTCGGTATATCTAAATATGTTTAGTAAAAGGTAAAACTTCAGAAATCTCCGTGTAAATATTGAGTGACGTCACACGCAAGCGATCACTTCCGGCGTAACATTGAACTGATTCAGTTCGGTTCAGTTGGACATTGCACAACTGATTTAGATCACTGTGATTACACGAGGTAAAAACGATATAAATACTGTTCGTTTTCTCACAAAAAAACGCTCGTTTCGTGTCTTAGGCCATCAATGTGTACTTACATTTATGAGTCATTAAATCATGTTTAATTTGGACTTCTCTGTGCATGCTTTTTGGTGGACCCCCTTTGCCTCCAGTGTATGACTGATAGACAACAACGGTTTGACTGAAAAATGTCAAAATTGAAAACACTGTGGAAACAAAGACACCAACATCTTGGATGCCCTTGAGGTAAGCTAAAACATATCAAAAATGAATTTCAAAGTGAACTATCCCTTTAAAGTTGACCACAGAATGATTGTTTTATTTTGAGAGTAACTGTTTAAATACCTGCAAATAACCACTTCCTTTACCACTGCTTCCAATATTGGACATTTCAAGCATGGCAGCAATGTCTCTAACGCTGCCCCCAGATGAAGTTTTTTCAGAGGCAATTCCACAATCGCTACGTCTGCGCTCTCTGTACGTCACATTGAGTAGCAAATTGTTAGCCCTTTTTTCATCATCAGCCACAGCTTCATCATCAGCCAGGTTACCAGTGGAAATGGAAGAGCACGAGCGTTTCGGTGGAGTTGGAGGACGAGTCCGTCTGCGAGGCCGAGCTGTAGCGAATGACTGACTGCGATTGACACTGTTGATGTCAAGAGTTTCCCCAGAGGCTTTCGCTGAACTGCAAGGAGTGACCCTATGTCCACCTAGTGTTGCGTATTTCACAGAGGAGTCCGGCAAAGGTAAGTCACGCTCAGCATCAGTAACGCTATACTGTCCACTTCTTGGCTGGGATGGGGTTTGACCATTGCCCTCTTCGGTTTCCCCTTCAGGTGGTAGGCAAAGTAATGGAACGTTACGAGCGTGAGCATGCGAACGGGGAGAGTCACAAGGCCCTCTGGCCCTGCTCTGTGTTTTTAATGGGGAGGAAGGGATATGTGAAGGAGAATTTGAAGCAGAAGGTGAGGTTCTGCCTTTAGTAGGGGTGTGTGGAGGTGTTGGGGTGGGACTCTCAATTGAGCCAGGTTTTCTCAGAGGAGGAGGGGCATTAGCCCTTTGCATGCCTCGCCCATGGGTGCTGTGCCGGGGAGAGCCACGGCCTTCTGTTCTTTTGCGTATTCGAACCGAGGGGGCGGAGTTTACATCTGGTTCTGTGCTGGTTTCTAATGATTGTTTTGAGTCTGTGCTTTCTTCTATCTGGCTCTCTTTGGTGGGAATGTCTGCTTCTGGAGATTCACTCAGTCGTTTGACAGCCAACATCAACTTCTTCTGGTGTCCTTAGTGGGAAAGAAAAAAAAAAAGACATGGACAGTAACTATTTGTTTGTGAGGTTAAACTTGTAATCTTTTCCCTGATGAAAGGACCAACATGAATATTAATGGTGGGTCAGTCTAGTCATATTGTTTATTTTGACAAAAATACTATTTTCACTATTTTGTTATTTTACCAGCATTAATGGAATCTGGTACCCTGACATTGGCATTGGGCACAAATACATCAAACATTAAAACAGATATATGTAAAATTAGACAAAAACAACATGCATAAAAGAAGACTCAAAGAAACCATATCCCTATTAAAGAGTAACTAAACACTAAACCAACTTTTTTTAGTTAATGATCTGTAAGAATGGATCTTTATTAATGCCAGTCATTGATTCGAGTAACTTTTAAGTGTTTTATTTCTACAATATATGGTGTAAAAACGTCTTAGTGCTGCCCTCTTCAGGTTGAACGGTGGCTACTGCAGTTGAATTTTCCTATTGGATGTTCCGCACTTCGTGACGTACGCAGCTTTCAGCTCACCATGCGAGCTTCGCCCTTGGCAGTATAAAAACCATCTTGTGTCGTCAAAACCACTGTAGGGAGTCAGGAATTGGAATCGTGAGTATTGAAAACGATCATGATAGAGTGTTTTAGCATCTATTTCGTCCCCTCTATCTCCGCTGGGGTCAGCCCACTTTTTTAGCATTTTCAAATATTGCCAGTGGGTGGAGTCAGGCTCTGACCAGGGGTTTAGTTACCCTTTAACATTCAGCAGACGCTATTATCATCCTTCTCACAAGTGTGGAACATTAACAGTTTTTCATACAAGATCCAAAAGTACTCACAAAGCCACAATGCTGTATTTCAACATGACACCATGACTTTTGCGTAAACATACACGCCAATTTCAAGTAAAGTGGTGTGTTATCTATATGCATTTTGAGCTATCCGCATGTATGCCTACGCCGCTAAACGTCCGAGTGATTCCGCGTGTATGTACACGCCGTTAAATATCTCGCCTGTTGGTTGTGTTCTGAGTTACTCATTAAACAAACTTGTTACTTTTCAATGATCTCCATCTTCCTTGGATCTTATCGTGACAGATATCAAGGAAAAAAAATATTTATAATAAATATAAACATAATGATGTGTAGTATACATGCCTAGTTTAGTGATGCCAATCTCCTTTAGGTCCTCCAGAGTAATATCACTAATGAAGTCCATATTGTCGTAGCCGTTCTGAACCAGAGTCTGGTAGTATTGATTCAGACCAATTGCAGACAGCCACTCAGCCAGACTGGCCTACAAAGATACACAGATATTTAGTAACGGATTTGAACAGCAATTAAGCTTGTACATGTGTATATATACATACAGTGGGGTCATAGTCTAAAAAGTCATGAAATCATATTTGTGACTTTTTAAATTTTAAGTTGTTATTATAAAAAATAATATTACCAGCAAAACAGTTTTACTCATATTTGGTTTATCATTCTTTTGCTTCAATGACTTCACAAAACCTGAAAATCATGTTCTAAATAAACGTCACAAATGTGCTTATTTGATGTGAAACAGAAATAGTATACAGATACATATTTTGTATTCATTTTTTTTTTCTTATCTTATTTTCGATTTCTGGAACACAGCTTTGTTTCTCTTACTGGTTTCTCTTGAGGTATCCAGTCTGGGATGTTCATTTTGCTGATCTCTGAAAGCATTTTCTTCCGGTGCCCTGGTTTTGTCACCCCAATAGCAGTGAGGTCCTGCGGGGTACACACACACACATACACACAACAGAATTTTAATTTAAAGAGGCTATATGCAGCTTTTCCCCCAAAATAAACGTAACAATACCCTTTTTATTTTACCATTTATGACTAAAACATCTCCTGATGAGCATACTGACACCTTGTCCGCTCACAGTGGTTGCACCAATAAGCCTGTATCCTATTTTTCCTATTTTCTGTCGGGTCGGACTTTTCCCACGCTGCCTGCGGATGTGACGTCAAGCGCGTTCATGTTAAACGTTTCAGATCACTCTGCCACCACCGCTAGTCAGCAAGTAGCCCACACTCGCAAGCAGAACACTTTATCTCAAACAATGTTCTTACCTCTGTAAACATAATTTTGACCTCCTTGCAGCAGATGACTAATGAAGTGTGCACGTAAAAGAGCGCGTTGCGAGAGCAGTTCTGTTTTTTGGCCACAGGAGTTAGTCGCGAGTTTAAATTTCAGGAAACGCATGTAGCCTCTTTAAGTTTAACTATTCCTTTAAGTTGAAGAGTATAATATAACTCTATAATAACTATTATTATAATGTACAGTGGACCCAAAAACAATCTGGACACTAAAGTCACTCTCCAAAATATGATATATTTTAAGCATTAAAATACTTTGAGTAAAGATGGCAGCTGGTTATGGTGGTAAAATATAGCAGAAAGAAAGAAAATTACTTTAATAGAATAAAGAATTGATTGATAGCGTTGTGTTTGTGTTACCTCTGGTGTCATTCTGCTAATGGTCTGCAGGTCATAACCAGCAGTGAGAAAGTTTGCCGTGTAGAACTGCAGCTGTGCACTAGTGAGCCATTCAACAACAGCCTCTGAGCTCTGCAACACACACACAAACACAGTAAGCCAGGGAAAGATGGAAACACATCAATAATTCAGATATTGCTTTGACAGCATCATGAATCCAAGTCCTAGTATGAAAGTGTGTCATGTAGTACACACGACAACCACTGTGTGGCAGCAAAAAAAATATTCTTGCTTCAAAATCATATATAGTAATACTGTGGATTTTGGATATGTTGGATATGTTATATATATGTTTTATACTGTATATATGTTATATAAAACACACACACTTGCCTTGCTCTCAGCTGAAACTTCATCTTTCCTTTGCAGCAATGGATCCACAAAGGGTTTTTTCTTTTGCTGACGTGGGGCAGCAGATGCACTCGGGGTCCGCTGAGAAGACACTAAAGCAAAACAAGTAAATAAAATGAAAAACAAGTAAGGTTTTATATACATATTTACTCATCAGAACTTTGAACACATGTATTGGCTTATTAAAACTTTTGGACGCATAGAACAATGGATATATGAGATGTGTACAAATGAGACATAATGAGACAAACCTGTATTCTAAGATCAGACTAATATTTGAATGTAAATAGGGGGTTTAAATGCATAAAATAAAATATAAATTACAAAGGATCTCAAAAGTATTTGCACACACTGGCATTTTCTAGCAAAACATCAAACCAGTCAAACAATTCACAAACACACTCTGTTTTGCTATTTTACTGACTTAAAATTCACCTGGACACCAGTAACTGTACAAGAAAAGTGAAGTTAGTTCTGAGAATGTTGGTATACACATCGTGGTACCTGAATTAGGATCTAAAGACTGTGATTGGTCCATAAGATGCTCTTTTGCTTTGGCTGACTGGGACAGCACCGTGGCCAACAGCTAAAAAACACACACACAAATGCACACATACATGATCAGTAATGTGAGAAATAGAGAGAAAGACAGACAAAGAGAGAATTTATACATCTGTCCTCATGTGCATCTATGGTCTTTGTGTGCGCCGCACCTTCACGCCCTCGGCCTGAGCATGCAGTCCCGGCACATTGAGGCCGTGTGTGTTAACTCCGGGCGAGTGTGTGGGGGTGGTCGGCACGGGCACTGGTGAGTTGGTGAGGTGAGCGTTGGCATTGCTGCTTTGTCCGCTAGTAGATGAACGTCCACTGGTCAGACTGCCTGTGCTGCCCATGCTGCCAACACTGCCCCCTGCTGGCAGGTACAAGTTATCATGCAAGAAACCAGAAATAAAAAAATAAAAAACGTTGAGTATGTCCATGTTTGTGCATCTGCTCTATTTCGATAGACATTCTACTAGCTGTAAGTAACCTTGAAACTACATGTCAACTAGCAGTTATTACAGTATTATTTTAATGTCTGCTTAATATCTTGACTCTGCAATTACATGTCAACTTTATAGAGTCTTCAGTCTTCTAATACTCCTATGAGAGTTAGTTGACATAAACTTTGAAGGAATGAGAGTTAGTAGACATGCCGTTGCAAAGTTACGAATGTCTAAAGTGGAATATTGAAATAAAGTGTAACCTTAAGGATTAAGGATTAAAAGTGTATTTAGGTGATTGACAAATAACTTAAAACAAACTTTTTTGAATTTATATGACTGTAGATAAAGTTTTCGGATCTTCTGTAATTTCAAGACATTTAAGCGTATTGTCCCGCCATGCATATTAGCCACATATAACATCACTGATGATTGTTGTGACGGCTCTTGAAGCACCACAAATGAAAGAAATTTGATGATATTTTCAGTGAATAACCACTTAAATGTCTTTTCATCATACGATGGTATTATATTGCTTCAGAAGACTTGGAATATTGACCATGTGAATCACCGTCTATTTTTTTAATTGTATGAAAAAGAGCAGGTAAAAAAAATCTGCATTATTTTTCCTTTTATTTTCCATGGAAAAAGAAAATCTTAAAAATTTTTGAACTTGTACTTGATGAAAAAATACATATTAAAATAACAGTAAAGACTTTGATAACATTACAAAAGACATCTGTTTCAAATAAAAGCTGTTATTTTAACCCCTTAAGTGTCACCCCCCTTTTTTTGAATATAAGTGAATAAATTTAATTTAATTTAATTTAATTTAATAAATTAAATTTTAAAATACATTCAAATACATAAAAGTTATTTTAAATTGTATTAATATTTCACAGTATAAATATTTTACCGATCAAAATTTGACAGCCCTAGTAAATATCCCATGTAGTTTCCCAATTAATATGAGACCATAAAATCAGCAAATATAGTAAACATCAATGAATATAAATAGTTTTAGATAAAGTATAGCATATCACGCTACAGCTCACGCCACGTAAACTGTCCATTGAAAAACGGTGTATTTACCAGCTAAAGGTTTTCTCAGAACCCAAATCTCCTCATTTGCGCTGCTTTGCTGGCCGCTGAGGGTTGGAGAACCATGAGGGCTGGAAACGGATCCCCTTGAGCCTGAAAGATATCACACACACACGCACAATCATAGTGATGTAAGAATGAAATACATTGCTTTGCAAGCTCCTAATTTGCAAAAACAGATACACACAGAGGAAGCAGATAGTAAAGGGATCATTTGGGGACAGTTCAAATGGACTGTAGCATATCCAACAGTAATCTGGGATCCTTGCTGATGAACATGTACGTTAAGTTTGTAAATACAGTACCAAAAATATTCAGACTGAATTATAAAACTTTAGTTAGCTGTGAAATGTAATGTCTACAACTGAAATTCTTGCACTTTATTTTACAGTGTGTACTTAAGAAATTGCTGGGTAATATCAGGTACAGTAACTACATAGGTTAAGGTTAGGTTTAGGGGTAGGTTCAGGGGTAGTACCGAGTTATTACCCAGTTATTGTATTACTATAAGTAGGGACATGGGAAACAGGACTGTAAAATAAAGTGCTACCAAGATTTTTCATGACTGTAATGGTACAGTAATACAGTTTGTTTTATTTAAATATGCATAAAAAGACTAATAATACACTACAGATTATACATGATCATCACTTGTAAAATATGCTGGTTAGGTGCTCAAGGAACATTTTTTATTATTAATATTTTTGTGGAAACTGATTTCAGGATTCTTTAATGAATAAAAAGTAAAAAAAAAAAAACAGCATTTCCCTAAATGGATTTTTTTTTATGTTTAATCAATTTCATTAATCATTGCTGAATAACAGTATTTTTTATATGTATATAATATATAATTATATAATTTTTCATACTAACTGTGATACTTTTTTGCACCATATGGTAAATAGAATTGGGGGGAAATATGCTAAATAGACATTCAAAAAAGTCACAGCAGTAAAAAAAAAAAAAAAAACATTTTCTTTATGGAAACCATAATTTTTCTACTTTGAAATATGGCCTAGACATGTTCTTCACACAAATATCTCTGATTCTGCTCATTTTGTATGGTACACATCCAACTTTCTCAAAGACATTCAGATTCACATCCTGTTTTCTCCATTTCACTATGGTCATGAAGTTTTAGGTGTATGATATGATATGCTTATGACGGGTACATGTGTATTTTTCTGACTGTATGTGTGTGTTTATACCTGTCTCTTTTTGTAGCTCCTCTGAGCAGGAGGAGGCTGGTTCATACCCAATTGTGCTGCAGGTAGGCATATTATAGCCAAATGAGGTGAAGAGGGGCTGATGGGTAAGGGGCTGGGAAGGAGGGGGTGGGGGAGTGAGGGGCAGAGAAAAAATGTGGGAGCAGTCACCGTTCACCATGACAACTGAACCAATTGCTGGCGGACGGATCTGTATCTTAAGATACTGTTGGGTTGAGGGACCTGGGTACAACAGAACAACAGGCGACACCAAAAAACACAAACAACAACAACAACAAAACAGGAAAGGAAACACAAAACAAAACATGTTCAAGCAAAAATATCTAACTCTACAGCTGAGCTTATCTTTATCCTGTAAGTTAACATGCAAGGTGAAAATTAACGCTTTAGAAAACTGAAAAAATAACTATACTCATGCATACTATTTTCACAAAACATACTTGAAATGCATTCCCAAAAACACCAAATTTATAACTGATCTGTGTGTTATGCATGCAGACTACATTCATGCACGGAAAGGGAGAAAATGAGGATTTGAAGTGTGTTGGAATGTGTACGTCAATCAGTGTTACATTTCATTATTGCAGTGGTGTAAAGTATTTGAGTAAATGTAATTACGTGCTTAAAGGGATAGTTCACTTTGAAAGAGATTTTTGGTATGTTTTAGCTTACCTCAAGATGTAGGTGTCTTTATTTCTGCAGTAGTTTCAATTTTGATATTTTTTTAAATTAATTTCCAATTTTTAGAAAACAAATCAGCTGTTTCTTGTTTTTCACGGGCATGTCTCTTAGGTTTAAGGAGTAGTGCATCTACATTCATTGTGAATTAAATGCTTTTACACAGATGGTTTTGGTGACTTGTACCTTTTAACTTTTAAGTATGATTTGTAGGCTACTCTTTACAACCAATGCAATATTAAAGTAAACATTTTTAAAAAATTATAAAGTAATAATGGATTTCATGGTCCATAGAGTCCCACTTAATACTGATTTTAAATTACGCAAATATTGATGTTCATCCAGCAAGACTCTAAACACTATTTTGGGTCTCAGACTTTATGAGAGAAGTTATGTGTGAATACATCTGTAAGACTACAAAATAAAATGATAATACAAATAACTATTAAACAACAATTTAAAAATAATATTATTACAATTATTATACACTAATATCTCACCATAAAAATAGGGATATTCAAGGAAAAAAAAGTAAGTTCTGGCAGAAAACCTCTGGAACCCTTAAAGCTTCTCTTTTGTTTTGTTGGCATTAGCTGGTTTATAAGCACTTCTAAAGTTTGAGAAGATTGTTGGCATATGCTGCGTTCCCAAACGCACATTAAGTGACCCAAACTCAAAGCTGTGGAGACGAGTCCTTCCGTGTAACAGTGCTGAACTTCACTCTGAAACATGCAGCCCATGTATTTACATAATTAAATCACAATTTTGGGGATTTGTTAAGCACGCAATGCCACATCACAATTTCGTTTTTTTCTTTTAATTAATCATGCAGGCCTAGTTTTAATCACTGTCAATTCTATTATGACTAGAAGCTCAGCTTCGCATAAATATTTTGTGCAAACATCAGAACAAAGTAAATCTGAGTGCACATTCTGACATTGATATGTGATGTTTCTTTGCTCCTGAGAAGCAGCAGTCGCCACTGATCTGCATGTACAAATGTGTGAAAGTGTGTTTGCATGTGTGCGAATGTGCAGAAGTGTGAATCCACGGCTGTGAGTTGAAAGGAAAGGAAGGGGGGCATGGAAACGATGGTACAGGTGGACGCAGAGATGACCGAACAGTGACACATAGATGAGCCACTCTCATCTGCCCTCTTTCATGTCTTCGAGCTGACGCCTCTAACTACAATCACTTGACTGGTGATAAAGGGCAGGGCAGTTGGATATAGAACAGTGTTGCCAAGTCTGTGGTTTTACACTGTTGCCACTGGATTGTTTTTGCAGTCCGTGGGTTGAAGCGTCCCCCTCCCCGGAACGCAATTTTTTACCCCCCTGGAATGTGATTTTTACCAGAAAATGCTGCAGATCTGGCAACCCTGATATGGAGCGAATGAACAGCCACCCACACAACCACACACAAACACTAGGATTGGGCTTGAGTACTCATGTATTTGAATACGCAGAAGACAGCAGCTCCATCAAAGTTTATAATCCTCTAGGGAAACAATCACGTGATCACTTCATAATTTGAGGCATCATTTATATCAGCGGCACAAACAGAGTGCAACAGTCGGTTCCGGAAGTAAAAATTCAATATTATTCTCCATAGGGAAATAGATTTTTTGAATGATAATTTATAAACACTTAAAGGAGTAGTTCACTTTTGAAAAAAACTTTTGCTGATAATTTACTCACCCCCATGTCATCCAAGATGTCCATTTTATTCTTTCTTCAGTTGAAAAGAAATGAAGGTTTTTGATGAAAACATTCCAGGATTTTTCTCCATATAATGGACTTCAATGGGAACCAAACGGTTCAAGGTCCAAAAGACAGTTTCAGTACAAACTGCAAACTGTTCAAAGGGCTTTAAACGATTCCAGACGATGAATAAGGCTCTTATTAAGCGAAACGATCGCTCATTTAATAAATAAATAACAAAGTTTAAGTTTTATAAGCTCACATGCTCGTCTTGCTCTGTTCTGTGATGCACGTTTGTGACTCTCCTGTTCGAACTCGTTCATCAAAATGAACAAATCTTTTTCCAAGTCATTTGGTTCTTTCAACAAACGAAACGAACGAACTGACTCGTAAAAAGATTCGTTCATTTTGATGAACGAGTTCGAACAGGAGAGTCACGAAAGTCCAGTACAGAGCAAGGCGAGCATTTGAGCTTATAAAACTTAAACTTTGTTATTTTTTTTAAACGAGCGATCGTTTCGCTTGATAAGACCCTTATTCGTCGTCTGGAATCGTTTAAAGCCCTTTGAACAGTTTGCAGTTTGTACTGAAACTGTCTTTTGGACCTTGAACTGTTTGGTTCCCAGTGAAGTCCATTATATGGAGGAAAAATGATGAAATGTTTTCATCAAAAACCTTAATTTCTTTTCGACTGAAGAAAGAAAGACATGGACATCTTGGACGACATGGGGTGAGTAAATTATCAGCTAAAGTTTTTTGAAAAGTGAACTACTCCTTTAAAGATAGACGTACTGTGAGCTATGAGGTTATTCATCAATGGCATTTGTTTCAACTGAAGATGTCCGCCCACATTATTTCAGCTTATTTTTAAACTAATCTATTTTAATAGAGGAATTGGTGAAAAAACAACATTACCCATGATGCTGTACAGAAAATTACACCAATCAGAGAAAAAGCAATACGCACCAAAAGATCTTGCTAGTTCCGCCCACTCCCATGAAGCACTGCGAATGGCATAATCGAGTAAATATCTTTACACTCTCAAAATACTTAAATGTTTGAATATACATGTCTATTCTGCAAAACACTCTAAATATATTGGTTTTATATATATATATATATATATATATATATACACATATAATCAACAATTCTAAGTGAGTTTTGTTTCTCCATCATTTTTAATTCGACCATGCTCTTCGCAATGCTTGATGGGATTGTAGTTCTTTCCCTAAATAAAGATGTTATACACAGTCTTTTACCTTTGTATTTTTTCCTGATTTTCAAATAATTTTTGCTTCAAATCAAAGTTTGCAGTGTTCGCGTATCGCTGATTGTCTTGTTTAATGGCTTATAATTCTTTTTTTTTTTTTAAATCCCTATGGGAAAAGTGAATGGAAAAAGGGCTAATGCACTCTATACTTAAACGTTTGTTCCAATAGTAACAGTAATGTGTACTCCCTACTCGGTTGATGCATCAACCGAGGACTCAAGAAGACGAAATTAACAAAATGCTCACCCCTAATCTACACACACAACAATAAATACACAAACACTCATAAATGCAGAAATGCATGCACTAAATACAAACTCAGCAGAACCCACACACATGAACATTTAAATGCCAGGTATGAGCTTCAGATTGACCTTGATTTTAAAGTGGATTAAAATGTGCATATGTGTCGCATGATATCCTAGAAGGCTCATGTGACGATGCGATGGCACACCTGCCCTTTTGATGACTTCCACCATGTTGGACGGAAAGTAACCCACGCGATCATTTCCTGTGCGGTTATCATGGATACAGCCCTTCCAGCGTCCATCAGAATGCTGCTCCAAGACCTGAGGAGCAAACACACACGTTGCAGAATGTGCCTGGAGTTCAAAACAACCAATACATTGCACTGCACCGTGCAACAAAACTAAAATAGTTTTGGTTTAAAAATGTTATTTTATTGCATTAACTTATGTTAATACTGTATAACCTTATTGCATAGTCTCACCAAAAGGATAAAGTTATAAAGACTATAAGGTCGAACCCAGGTTTCCAAAAAGTATACTACTTATGTCTTACATGCTACCGATTATTTTAAAATACCATTATATACTCACAAAGGCTGCATTTATTAAAAAAAAAAAAAAAAAAAAAAAAAAAAAACAGTAATATTATTACGATTGTTGTAACTACTTTTTTTTCATTATTGTCACGAACACTTGGTTATCTTTGATTTTTCATTATTTTTCATGGACTTTTAGTTTATCTTCTTAAGTCCATGAAAAAAAATCAAAAATTGATTTTTTGGTGTTCGTGACAATTCCGAATGTAATTTATTCCTCTGATGCAAAACTGAATTTTCAGCATAATCTTTCAATCTTCAGTGTCACATGATCCTGCAGAAATCATTCTTATATGCTGATTTGCCTCTCAAGAAACATTTCATATTAATATCAATGTTGAACAGTTGTGCGGCTTAATATTTTTGTGAAAACCTTGATGCATTTTTTTTTCAGGATTCTTTGATTAAAATAAAGTAAAAAAAAAAAAACAGGAGTTATTTGAAATAGAGATCTTTTGTTACTTTATAAATGTCACTTTTGATCAATTTAATGCATCCTTTCTGGATAAAAGTATTAATTTCTTTCAAAATAAATCATACTGACCCATACTTTTGAATAGCATCGTCTATTGAATAATAAGTGTAAAGTTAAGTTAAGCTTAAAAAAAAAATGCACAACGTTCTACTTTGTTACAGTAAAATAATTGCTTCTTTACCGTGATGATGTCGCCTGTTTTAATGTTGAGGCTTGTAAGGTCATAGTTGTTGCAGTAATCCTTCAGAGCCTTCACTTGCATAGCAGCCGATGCATCTAAATGCAGGAACACACACACATACCAGTGATTTCAGAAAGCCTTTGACTCTACCTTTCCGTGTGAATTTTAGTTTTCTCCCATTGTACCTCTCAGCATCTGTTTAATCTCCTTGCTGGCTTGGGTAGTGGTGAACTGGTTAACAATATCCAGCGCTGTCTGACAGAATGTATTCCTCACCCCAGCACTGATACCACTCTGAGGAGAAAAGCCAGAATACACATTCACATGGTACAGAGTTATTACACTGACAATACAGACATGCACACATTCACATGACGATCATTAACATACCAGCAAACTCCCAAACACAACCAGTGCTCATATCAAACACACACAAGTCTAGAAAACATCGGTTTCAACTCTTCTATTCTTATGTCTTCTAAAAAATTTTACCACAGTTGAGCATTAAGATTAAAGGCTCATGTTGCATATTGGTTCACAGAGAAAAGGAGACTTGTACAATGCATGATGATTTGAGCGACTCAGTGACCTGCACTTTTTGTCATTACTATGCAAAGGGGAAAAAATCCATTGTGACAGTGACAGAATAGACTACACCACTGTTCAGAAGTTGGGGATCGGAAAGATCTTTTCAAATTAATATTTTCTTCAGCAAGGATGCATTGGATTGATTAAAGGGGGCAGTGAAAAAAAAAACATTTAGAGTGTTACAAAAGATTTATTCATCAAAAAATCCTGGGTGAATCAAGGTTCCCAAAACATTTTGCAACTGTTTTCAGCATTGATTATAATAAAAATATTAGGGCTGTCCCGCATCAAAATAAAAGTTTGTGTTTGCATAATATATGTGGGTGCACTGTGTATAATTATTTTGTATATATATAAATACACACATGGTTGTGTATATTTAAGAAATATTGTCATGTATATACTGTATATAGACTTATATATAATTTATATTATATAAAAATATTTTTTTTTCTTAAATATACAGTGCATGCATGTGTGTGTATTTATATATACATAATAATTATACACAGTGCACCCACATATATTAAGTAAACACAAACTTTTATTTTGGATGTGCTTAATCGTTTGACAGCCCTAATATATATATATATTGAAAAAACGAAATGAATGCATGCCATTGGTGGCAAAAAGTCATTGTGGACACCACACATAATATAATGCATGCATGCATCGCATGCGAGTTCTGAATGAATGGGAGTCTATGGAGCTAGACGGCTAAACGTATCATTTTTTTCCTGCTTGTCGTTGAATCAACGTAGATTTTATTGTTGATTCCGCAAGTTCAATATAGATTATAGACCAAAGTCGAATGAGTACTTATGTCCTTTCGATTTCTTACAGGTTAGGCCGTTGTTGGCCGGAACACGCTAGCATTCTGCTATTATTTGACGTCATCACATTTTTGAACGAATTTTTAGAACAGATAAGTGAATTTAAAAATATAATTTTCAGCGGAGTGTATTATCTTATATATATATATATATAAGTTATATTATCTCCCTTTTGAATGCAACTTTCAAATTACTTGACAAAAAATGACATCTTCTGGGGGTGAAACCCCATGGACTCCCATTCATTCTGCACTCGACCGCGAGCGTCCCCGCATGGACAGAGACGTGTTACTGCAGCCAGTCCAGAAACAGGAGGTAACCAGACAGTGGCAATTCTCCCCTTATTAGACATTCACTGGAAATACTCACATCCAGCAGCAGTCGTACAGCCTCGATTTTCCCGCAGAGAGCAGCTTCATGCAACGCTGTGCCTGATTTAGTCTGTCGGTTTATATCTATTCCAGCCTGGATCAGTAACCTGAACACACACACACACACACACAACATTTTATATTTATTTTTTGGTAAACACATGATAAGGCTCTCTTTCACAACATCATTCTAACTAGTACAAAGTTTATCAATACGAACATAATAAGATAGCCTAACATAATAAGATACTGTTTGCACTCTTATTTACAGGGAAAGATTATTCAAAGGGGTCCAACAAACACATCAAATGTAAGTATTAAATGACACCTATACATAGTTCCCACAGGCAAAAAAATTGTCACGTGACCTCCCCGGAGACGCCATCTTTGAGGGCAAAACCGCTGTGTTTACCATAGGCGTTTACAACGTTTTATCAGAGAATGTCGTTTTACAAACAAATATTTATGTCTGTTTATATTGTTATGCAAATCATGAAAAGACAAAGTGTAATAGATTATAAAGAGACTATTAAAACAAGACATAGAGAGGTACAATGCGAAAATTTCATTCATAAATGGTGTGTATCCTTATGCAACAAAAGAAGCACTGAGCACCGATTATGCAACTTTGCCTCAGATACAGTATTTTCATGTGTACAATTATCTGGTATTGGTGAGGAGTTTTTCACATGTGATGCAAAAGCCTGGAAATCACTGGAGGTGTACGATCAGATTGACGTGGGGTTGGTTTGGTGACGTTTGCTCAAGTGCAATCAATGGAAAGTAACTTAAGTCATCATAGCGAAGTAGCATGATGCTAATCTGTCTATTAAAAAGCCATAGCCTGCACAACTTAATTCCTATGTTCCCCAGTCACCGGTGATTTCTGTAATATGCATGTACTTGCGGGCGTCATGGTTCGGTGCATGAATATTAAAATAAATAACTCGCGTGCAATTTAATTAATGTAATAAATGAGGAACTACATTATACGCGGGATCTTTAGGGACATAATCTGAGATTGCAATGCTGGAATGTGAGATCAAACAGTGGAAACAATGTTGTTTGTATGTTTTAATACCTCGTCATTTTGTTCATACAGGACATTATTCAAACTGCAACGTGTTAACTTATATTTATTTACACTCGCAATAAAACACAACATTGTGCTTTTGTCAAACAAATTCGTGCGTGTTTTTGAGTGAGTTTCTTTCCTGTTCATGCTCGCCAGCCATAATCTCCATCGTTGTTCGGACAAAAGCTTAGTCTTCTCACATCCATATGGAGTCTAATGACGGGTATAGTGTAAAATCCCGATTTAACTGAACCTCCGGCACGATTTTATCATCCATTGACTCAGCAGGAGATGACCATTTTCACTTTATAGCACGAAACTCATTTCACTTCGTTCAACTCGTATTGCTTCTTCTTATGTTTTGCCCTCAGCAATGGCGCCGGGTCGGCAAATGCCCGTATGTTGTGACGTCATGTGGGAACTATGTATAGTACCAATGCATATCAATATGCTCTGGCTGGATGAGTGAAAGACGAAAAAGTGCAGCACCTGTATGAAGGTAGATTTGTGTCTTTATTATTCAATCAAAAAAAATGTTGCTTCAATCAAAAAAAATATTTTTAATTAAAAAAACCTTCACTTCAATGAAAAAAAAACTTTTCAATCAAAGAAAAAAAGTATTTGAATCCAAAAATATATTTGAGACTCAAAAAAATACATTTGAACACTGCTTTTCTTTGATTGAAAATGTATTATTTGATAGAAGTCCGGTTTTTTTTGTTTAAAGCAACCTTTTTAATTAAAGTAACATTGTTTTTTGATTGGACCATATAATGGGTAGGACATTTGTGTCTTTATCATTCAATCAAAAAAGAAGTTGCTTCAAACAAACAAACAACAGAATCAATACAAAAGTCACTTCAATGAAAAGATAAACATTTTCAAATATAGAAAATCATTTTTGAATGCAAATAAAATATTTGAGACTCCAAAAATTGCATTTGAACACCTTTTGTTTTAATTGAAAACAACGGGTGGTTCTCTGTTGGTCATACATGTTTGATTGACAAGTGTCTACACCAACGACATCTTTCTGACAAAGAAGTCATGTTCGCCACTCGCCAGCAGCTTTTTTAGAGGGGATAAAATCTTTGCCTGGCAGGGGGATCTGCTACTCGACCGGCCACGGATATATGTGCCTTATATGCACTGCATTATATAGCGCCTGCCACTCGAACTTACACAATATTTACAGTAAATGCAGCGCATATTCCCCGACAGAACGGTACGCACAATAGGTCAATATTCACCATTAACCAAACGCTTTTCACCTGCCTAGCCACAAGATTTCTCACTGTTTACACCTATCAGACACTAATGGTAGGCCTACACGAGAGCACACATACAGTACAATACAGATCTTATTTACACATTTATCATCTGATCATATATTTTATTCGTTCTTTTTGCCCGTATTGGCGCGCGTATAATAACGTGCAATCCATCTCTTATTTACCTTTTTGTCATCTTATATTATATTTTATTTGCTCTTTTTATGCGTATGGGAGTGCGCTCGCATGGCTCTATTAAGCGTCGCGCCGGCCACACCAGCCACACGATCTCTCTCTATTTACACCTAATGGTAGCTACACGAAAGCACACATAGTGCAATACAGATCTCATTTACCCATTTATCGTCTGATCTTATATTTTATTCGCTCTTTTTATGCGAACGGGTCGTGGCTCTAAGCATCGCCAGCCATACCAGCCACAAGATCTCTTACTATTTACACCCATCAGACACTCCGATTGATGCACATGTGAAAACAAACAGTGCAATCCTGCTCTTAAGTATCTTTTTTGTCATCTTATTTTATATTTTATTTGCTCTTTTTGTCCATAATGGAGCGTGCGCGTCACCTAGCGTCGCGCCTGCCACAAGATCTCTCACTGTTTACATGAGACACTCAGATGAGAGCAAATAAAGTCCAATCCATCTCTTATCTACCTTTTTGTAATTTTTCTTATATTTTATTTGCTCTTTTTGCCCGTATTGGAGCCATCTTCGCAGTAGTGAACGCGCCGAGAGAAATGCTCATTTCATATGGATTAAATATAATCTGAGAGTAGAATAATCTATTTATTTTCGTTTTGAATTGTTTTGTTTAAAATTAGGCTAGACATTTCTACCTTTCTAGATGCAGCCTATTTATCATGTCTTTGAGAAACGTGCAAAGCAAAAAGTTCATGATTTTATTGCTATGCCTATATGTTTGCTTTGCTTCTTATTTATTAAATCCTGGGAATTGGTTGATCAAACATTGATTAAAATCAAGATGCAATTTATTAAAAACGAAATTCACTTTAAAGAAAGGCTTTATTAAAAAAAAAAAAACTTAATGGAGTGGTCAAAATCATTCTCCTTCAGAATGTCAATCGGAGAATCACGCAACTATGCGAAATATTGCGAAATCTTGTGACTGGCGCACCACGAAACGTGCTCCATTATGGGACAAACGAGCTAATAAAATATAAGATAAGATGACAAAAGGGTAAATAAGTGCAGGGTTGCGTTGTCTCTGTGTTTTCGTGCATCAATCGGAGTGTCTGGTAGGCTATGAGAACAGTGAGAGATCTTGTGGCTGGCCCGACGCTTAAGAGCCACGAGATGCGCTCCAATACGGGCAAAAGAGCGAATAAAATATAAGATAATATGTAAAAAAAAGTAAATAAGAGATGGATTGCACTTTATATGCCCTCAGAGTGTCTGGTTCACGTAAACAGTGAGAGATCTTGTGGCAGGTCGCTTAGTAAGAGCCATGAGACGCGCTCCAATACGGACAAAAAGATAAATTATAAGATAAAATCATAGGCGTCATTTACGGGGGGGGGGGGGGGGGACGGTGGGACATGTGTCCCCATAGATATGTATGCATGTCCCCACCACTTTTTGCCAGGGTCGATTTTGTACCCACCACTTTTGAAACATCTCGCGGCGCCTACTCGAAAGAGAAAAAAAATAATGAATGCGTCATTGTACCCAGCACTTTTGAAAATGCTCTTCCGAATACGTCTCTCCGTCCCCCAGCACATTTCAAACCAAACCAAACTGACGCCCGTACACAAGAGCAGGATAACACTGTCTGTGTGCTCTCGTGTATTAATCGGAGTTTCTGATAGTAAACAGTGAGAGATCGTGTGGCTGGTGTGGCTGGCGCGATGCTTAGAGCCACAAGATCAAATGATAAATAGATAATAGCCTATCCTGTAGGGGTAAAAACTTGCTGGCGAGTGGCGAACATGACTTCTTTGTCAGAAAGATGTCGTTGGTGTAGACACTTGTCAATCAAACAACAGAGAACCACCCGCCCACTGCGGAACGTTTGTGTCAAAATGATTCAATCAAAAAAAAGTTTGAACTTCAAAACTTTTTGCACTTCAAAAAAAAAAAAGGATTCAATCAAAACTATTTGAAATTCTAATTTTTTTTCACTTCAAATAAAAAACAAAAACAACAAACACACATTCTCTTCAATACTTTTTTATACACGAGGTAAATAATTTTTTTTTTGCTTTTGAAAAGTTTTTTCTTTGATTGAAAATATTTTTTTTTGATTGAAACAACTTTTTTGGAATTGAATGATTAAGACACAAATGTCCTACCCATGTATGGCCCAAACACAAAAAAGATTACTTCAATCAAAGAGAACATTTTCAATTAAAACAAAAGGTGTTCAAATGCAATTTTTGGAGTCTCAAATATTTTATTTGCATTCAAAAATGATTTTCTATATTTGAAAATGTTTATCTTTTCATTGAAGTGACTTTTGTATTGATTCTGTTGTTTGTTTGTTTGAAGCAACTTCTTTTTTGATTGAATGATAAAGACACAAATGTCCTACCCATTATATGGTCCAATCAAAAAACAATGTTACTTTAATTAAAAAGGTTGCTTTAAACAAAAAAAACCGGACTTCTATCAAATAATACATTTTCAATCAAAGAAAAGCAGTGTTCAAATGTATTTTTTTGAGTCTCAAATATATTTTTGGATTCAAATACTTTTTTTCTTTGATTGAAAAGTTTTTTTTT